ACCTGTAACTAAAGACCACCGTGACTAACGACCAGCCTGGTACTACAGTAAAACCTGTAACTAAAGACCACCGTGACTAGCGACCAGCCTGGTACTACAGTAAAACCTGTAACTAAAGACCACCGTGACTAACGACCAGCCTGGTACTACAGTAAAACCTGTAACTAAAGACCACCGTGACTAGCGACCAGCCTGGTACTACAGTAAAACCTGTAACTAAAGACCACCGTGACTAACGACCAGCCTGGTACTACAGTAAAACCTGTAACTAAAGACCACCGTGACTAGCGACCAGCTTGGTACTATCGACCACTTCACCAGGCACGGACGGTCTCACATTCAAAATTCACTGTGACTAGCGACTACCTGCTGTACGCGACCAGCGACCGCCTTTTCTTGTCCCAAAGACGATTTTTGACCCGTAACTAGCGACCGCGATGTAGGAAATCAAATGTTGCTCGAAGCTCCTTCTTGAAATTTTGATGATTTTCCGTGGTCCTGAATAGAATCTTTCGATACCACAGCTGAAGAATTAGAATTGAACGCAGGTAATTTTGACTGTGGAGTCCGTGTGGGATGCACTACACCTGTCAGAAATTCAAGCTCTGTCAAGAATAGACATGATAGGAAACGTCTTGGAGAGCACATTGAGCTTTCTGATCGATGTTTTACTACTCGGAGGAGAAACGAAGACTGAGCGGCTCTGTCACCCCAGTCATACAGACGATTTGACGATTGCATAAAGGAATCCAGAAACAAAGCAGCACCGCAAGGTCCTGATGCTGAAGGGTCGCGTTCAAGCAATCGAGAAGTCGCAACAAGGACAGTCGGTACGATTGCTCGCATGAACAAATTTGAAGCCCAGCGCAAAACGAAACTTCCACAGGGAACTTTTGACTCCTGGCTTCAGAAGTACGAGCCGAATTTGATGTCCGGAAAAAAATAATCTTCTCTCTCTCTCTGTCTCTCTCCATCTCTCCGTCTTTCTCTCCAAGTTTTGTTTGACCTGAAATAGGAATGGCATTGCGCAAGTCTTGGGGAATTGTATTAGCTGCATTTTGATATACATATCATATAATGGGATCCATATATGGTGGCGTGGTGCAAACCTCTAACTAAAGACCACCTGCTAGTAAAGACCGCTTTTGCTGGCACCAAGGGCAAGGGGTGGTCGGTAGTCACAGGTTTTACTGTACAGTGAAACCTGCCTAAGACAACCGCTCAAGGGACATTCAAAATGTGGTCTCTGTAACCAGGTGGTTGCCTTGCCCAGGGTCATTTGACTGGAAATAGCATCCCTTGGTCCTGGTTGCAGCGGTCCTCTAAGACTGGTGGTGGCCTTCTCCGAGTGGTCGCCTTGACATATTTACTGTATTACAGACCATGGTGTTTTCCGCCGAAGCGAAACCGCAGAAGTGAGTGTGCCAGTCCCAAATATTTTCGAGGCAGGAGATTTGATATTCCACTAAATCGGTAGTTTCACTTTTCGCAGTTGCCATGGTATTTTCTGCCCCCGTGGCATCGCTTCAGTGGAAAGGCTACTCTTGAGTGCACGTGTGATCGTGCCCTGAGATGGGAAGTACAAACAGGAATTGATGATGTGCTCTGATCTACACACCTGGAGACAAGTATGATCATTTTTCGATGCGGGCGCATGTTCCATGATGATGTGTGTGTGTGTGCATGTGTGTGTGTGTGTGTTTGTGTGTCTGTGTGTGTCTGTGTGTGTGTGTGTGTGTTTGTGTGTGTGTATGTATATGTTTGTGTGGCTGTGTGTATACCATACTCGCGCGATTCGTGACCCTGGGGCACTATTTTTTCAATGTCCAACACAGATGATGGGCCACTACCGTACTCGCAAGATTATGGTGCATTTTTTTGTAATAGACTCTGAAAACGTTGAGAACGTACTTGAGGCCACTTTTGAGAAAATGTAATGCGAGTTGCGTCACGAAAATCTGTGCTCCAAACTCGAAAACCAGGAGTGACTCGTAGCATTTGTTCAGAGTGTCCTTCGAGCTCCTTGCCTCGTGGCTGGAAGAATCATTTTGTTGTTGACTGCTCTGTGGCACTATTTTTCTTTTTTCTCGAGTGTCTTTGCGTTTGTGGCAACTTGTTCTCTCGCCATGCCACATTTAACAAAACGCGAACGGGCCATGGTACATGGTGGTGTCTGTTTTACAATTTTTTTGCGAAGACGAGGAGAACAATGGCTGGGCATCGAATTGGTCCCAAGTATTCCATTAGTCATGCTGCTGTTGCGTGGGGCGTCAGTATTCCCACCATGAACAGATGTGCCAGGACAGCCGACGACGTATATTATCGTTGGCGTCGGCCTTGTCGGTCTCTAGTCACGAACACATCAGCGCAATTTTTCACGAATCCGGCCTGTCCACCAATATGCAGAACAATAACCCCCCCCACCCGATGGTGCTTCATTTGGTTGCTTGCCTACACTCCTGTCACCATTGCCCCACCGTTGCTTGCCTACACTCCTGTCACCATTGCCCCACCGTTGCTTGCCTACACTCCTGTCACCATTGCCCCACCGTTGCTTGCCTACACTCCTGTCACCATTGCCCCACCGTTGCTTGCCTACACTCCTGTCACCATTGCCCCACCGTTGCTTGCCTACACTCCTGTCACCATTGCCCCACCACCTCCTAGTAACTGTGTGGTGCATATTGACCCCGATCTCATCCAGGTACACAATTGGCTTGCCTTGAGAACGAACTTCTCTGCTGTCTCGCAGGTAGCGATGCCGCCATGACACAATCTCGGGTCATTCCATCATTATGTGCGTGATACCTCTGGTCTTGCCACACCGAAATCCCATGGAACGCAACATTTTCCAAGAGCTAGTTTTGCTCATGTCTGGAAAATCGTTGATGGTTTCTCTGCAGCGAGTAGGAACTTTGTCCAGTGTTGGGTGCTCCTTCGCAGCATAGAATCCGTAAATTACTTCTTATACAGTCCAAAGCAAATCCGTCAGGGTTGAGTGGCTTCATGGCACGAGTCTCACATCGGGGATTGTCACTCTCGTCACCTTCATCACTGGAGACAGACAAGGCCAACGCAGCACGCTGGTTTTCGCCATCAGCATCCCCGGTACATGTGTTCCTCGTGGAAATACTGACGCCCCACGCAACAGCAGCATGACAAATGGAATACTTGGGACCAATTTGATGCCCAGCCATTGTTCTCCTCGTCTTCGCAAAAAATTGTAAAACAGACACCACCATGTACCATGGCCCGTTCACATTTTGTTAAATGTGGCATGGCGAGAGAACAAGTTGCCACGAACGCAAAGATACTCGAGAAAAAGCAAAAGAGTTCCACAGAGCAGTCAGCAACAAAATGATTCCTCCAGCCACGAGGCAAGTCACTCGAAGGACTCTCTGAACAAATGCCACGAGTCACACCCGGTTTTTCGAATTTCACGCACAGATTTTCGTGATACCACTAGCATGCCATTTTCTCAAAAGTGGCCTTGAGTACGTTAAGTGGCCTTGAGTACGTTAAGTGGCCTTGAGTACGTTAAGTGGCCTTGAGTACGTTAAGTGGCCTTGAGTACGTTAAGTGGCCTTGAGTACGTTAAGTGGCCTTGAGTACGTTAAGTGGCCTTGAGTACGTTAAGTGGCCTTGAGTACGTTAAGTGGCCTTGAGTACGTTAAGTGGCCTTGAGTACGTTAAGTGGCCTTGAGTACGTTAAGTGGCCTTGAGTACGCTAATTGACCTTGAGTACGTTAAGTGGCCTTGGGTACGTTAAGTGGCCTTGAGTACGTTAAGTGGCCTTGAGTACGTTAAGTGGCCTTGAGTACGTTAAGTGGCCTTGAGTACGTTACGTGGCCTTGAGTACGTTAAGTGGCCTTGAGTACGTTAAGTGGCCTTGAGTACGTTAAGTGACCTTGAGTACGTTAAGTGGCCTTGAGTACGTTAAGTGGCCTTGAGTACGTTAAGTGGCCTTGAGTACGTTAAGTGGCCTTGAGTACGTTAAGTGGCCTTGAGTACGTTACGTGGCCTTGAGTACGTTAAGTGGCCTTGAGTACGTTAAGTGGCCTTGAGTACGTTAAGTGACCTTGAGTACGTTAAGTGGCCTTGAGTACGTTAAGTGGCCTTGAGTACGTTAAGTGGCCTTGAGTACGTTAAGTGGCCTTGAGTACGTTAAGTGGCCTTGAGTACGTTAAGTGACCTTGAGTACGTTAAGTGGCCTTGAGTACGTTAAGTGGCCTTGAGTACGTTAAGTGGCCTTGAGTACGTTAAGTGACCTTGAGTACGTTAAGTGGCCTTGAGTACGTTAAGTGGCCTTGAGTACGTTGTCAACGTTTTCAGAGTCTATTTTTAAAAAAAATGCACCGTAAGTTGTTCATCTTGCCCTGCTTCGCGAAGTGGCGATTGTCACATCTCTGCATTTTGAAGTGACATCTTGCCCACAGGCCTTTCGGGGAGGGCGAAGATTTCAAAACGCTAGCTGCTAGTGCTATTTATTTACCACTGGTGTTGCTCCTCGGGGCCATTGTCCTGCTCTTTCAAGTTCCAGTATCTTGTATATTTATGCAAATAGTGCGATACCGCATGAACATAGTGCTTATGTGTCCATGTGTCGCGGGATCAATTGCATTCAGGTTCACTTATAAACCCATGCGCTTATTTGTGAGGGTGTGCTGATGCCCGGATATAGGCACATTTTTTCTTTTTTTCTTTTTTTACTATTGACACAGCCCTACTGGAAAACAGGTGGAGAACAAAAGAAACGAGGAAAAGGACAAAACATAGGGGATGTAGGGACGACGTGCTGATATGCTGGGACATGTTGAAATGCACGTCACTACAGTATGTGTGTGTGTGTGTGTGTGTTTTATATGTGTGTGTTACGTGTGTGTTTTATATGGGTGTGTTATGTGTGTGAGCGTATGTTTCTCTGTGTGTGTGTGTGTGAGTGCACATCCATGCAATGTCCTTGTTCGTGTCTTTTTGTCCGTGTTCTCATCTCCTTGCAGGCGGTCTGCATTTGCCTATTTTGAGCTGCTGCTGGTGTTCATAGCTGTGCTCGTTGCCTTGATAACCAGTGCCACGGTAACGGGAGGGCTGTACAAAACGTGCAATCAACTGCTGAGTGGTTGGGCTCAAGATAGTGGAGGATATGGTGCCAAACCCGGGTGAGTGCTTGTGATTGTCTGCACTGTGGTGTGTCCACTGTGTTGTGTGTCCACTGTGGCGTGTGTCCACTGTGTTGTGTGTCCACTGTGTTGTGTGTATTTATGTTGTTGAGAGTATATGACTGCAAGAGTATCGAACTCTGCATATAGGGTCTGGCGTGGTGGAATGCAAGCATTACTGCTTGCATTATGTGGTCGTGAGCTGTGGGCCATTGCTTGCATTACATAGTCGTGAGCTGTGGGCCATTGCTAGCATTACGTAGTCGCGAGCTGTGGGCCATTGCTCGCATTACGTGGTCGCGTGCTGTAGGCCATTGCTTGCATTACATGGTCCTGAGCTGTGGGCCATTGCGGCATTACGTGGTTGCGAGCTGTGGGCCATTGCTTGCATTACGTGGTCGTGAGCTGTGGGGCATTGCGGCTTTACTTGGTCGTGAGCTGTGGGCCATTGCAGCATTACTTGGTCGCGAGCTGTGGGCCATTGCTTGCATTACGTGGTCGCGGGCTGTGGGCCATTGCGGTATTACGTGGTCGCGGGCTGTGGGCCAATGCTTGCATTACGTGGTCGTGAGCTGTGGGCCATTGCTTGCATTACATGGTCGCGAGCTGTGGGCCATTGCGGCATTACGTGGTCGCGAGCTGTGGGCCATTGCTTGCATTACGTTTTCGTGAGCTGTGGGCCATTGCTTGCAATACATGGTCGCGAGCTGTGGGCCACTGTGGCTCTAAGTGGTCATGAGCTGTGGGCCATTGCTTGCATTACGTGGACGTGAGCTGTGGGCCATTGCGGCATTACGTGGTCGTGAGCTGTGGGCCATTGCGGCGTTATGTGGTCGCGAGCTGTGGACCATTGTGGCGTTACATGGTCGCGAGCTGTGGGCCTTTGCGGCATTACGTGGTCGCGAGCTGTTTGCCATTGCTTGCATGACGTGGTCGCGAGCTGTGGGCCATTGCTTGCATTACGTGGTCGTGAGCTGTGGGCCATTGCTTGCATTATGTGGTCGTGAGCTGTTGGCCATTGCGGCATTACGTGGTCGTGAGCTGTGGGCCATTCCGGCATTACGTGGTCGCGAGCTGTGGGCCATTGCTTGCATTACGTGGTCGCGAGCTGTGGGCCATTGCTTGCATTACGTGGTCGCGAGCTGTGGGCCATTGCGGCATTACGTGGTTGCGAGCTGTGGGCCATTGCGGCATTACATTGTCGTGAGCTGTTGGCCATTGCGGCATTACGTGGTCGGGAGCTGCGGGCCATTGCGGCATTACGTGGTCGCGAGCTGTGGGCCATTGCTTGCATTACGTGGTCGCGAGCTGTGGGCCATTGCTTGCATTACATGGTCGCGAGCTGTGGGCCATTGCTTGCATTACGTGGTCGCGAGCTGTGGGCCATTGCGGCATTACGTGGTCGCGAGCTGTGGGCCATTGCTTGCATTTCGTGAACGCGAGCTATGGGCCATTGCTTGCATTACGTGGTCTCGAGCTGTGGGCCATTGCTTGCATTACATGGTCGTGAGCTGTGGGCCATTGCTTGCATTACGTGGTCACGAGCTGTGGGCCACTGCTTGCATTACATGTTCGCGAGATGTGGGTCATTGTGGCATTACATGGTCGCGAGCTGTGGGCCATTGCTTGCATTACGTGGACGTGAGCTGTGGGCCATTGCTTGCATTACATGGTCGTGAGCTGTGGGCCATTGCTTCCCTTACGTGGACGTGAGCTGTGGGCCATTGCTTGCATTACATGGTCGTGACCTGTGGACCATTGCAGCATTACGCCGTCGCGACCTGTGGGCCATTGCGGCATTACGTGGTCGCAAGCTGTGGGCCATTGCGGCATTACGTGGTCCTGAGCTGTGGGCCATTGCGGCATTACATGGTCGCGAGCTGTGGGCCATTGCTTGCATTACGTGGACGTGAGCTGTGGGCGATTGCGGCATTACGTGGTCGTGAGCTGTCGGCCATTGTGGCGTTACATGGTCGCGAGCTGTGGGCCATTGCTTGCATTACGTGGACGTGAGCTGTGGGCCATTGCGGCATTACGTGGTCGTGAGCTGTGGGCCATTGTGGCGTTACATGGTCGGGAGCTGTGGCCCTTTGCGGCATTACGTGGTCGCAAGCTGTGGGCCATTGCTTGCATAACGTGGTCGCGAGCTGTGACCCATTGCTTGCATTACGTGGTCGTGAGCTGTGGGCCATTGCTTGCATTACGTGGTCGCGAGCTGTGGGCCACTGTTTGCATTACATGTTCGCGAGCTGTGGGCCATTGTGGCATTACATGGTCGTGAGCTGTGGGCCATTGCTTGCATTACGTGGACGTGAGCTGTTGGCCATTGCTTGCATTTACGTGGTCGCAAGCTGTGGGCCATTGCTTGCATTACGTGGTCGTGAGCTGTGGGCCATTGCTTGCATTACGTGGTCGCGAGCTGTGGGCCATTGCTTGCATTACGTGGTCGCTAACTGTGGGCCATTGCGGCATTACGTGGACGTGAGCTGTGGGCCATTGCTTGCAATACATGGTATCGCGAGCTGTGGGCCATTGCGGCATTACATTGTCGTGAGCTGTTGGCCATTGCGGCATTGCGTGGTCAGGAGCTGTAGGCCATTGAGGCATAACGTGGTCGCGAGCTGTGGGCAATTGCTTGCATTACGTGGTCGCGAGCTATGGGCCATTGCTTGCATTACGTGGTCGTGAGCTGTGGGCCATTGCTTGCATTACGTGGTCGCGAACTGTGGGCCACTGCTTGCATTACATGTTCGCGAGCTGTGGGCCATTGTGGCATTACATGGTCGTGACCTGTGGGCCATTGCTTGCATTACGTGGACGTGAGCTGTGGGCCATTGCTTGCATTATGTGGTCGCGAGCTGTGGGCCATTGCGGCATTAATTTGGACGTGAGCTGTGGGCCATTGCTTGCATTACGTGGTCGCGAGCTGTGGGCCATTGCTTGCAATACATGGTATCGCGAGCAGTGGGCCATTGCGGCATTACATTGTCGTGAGCTTTTGGCCATTGCAGCATTACGTGGTCGGGAGCTGTGGGCCATTGCGGCATTACGTGGTCGCGAGCTGTGGGCCATTGCTTGCATTATGTGGTCGCTAACTGTGGGCCATTGCTTGCATTACATGGTCGCGAGCTGTGGGCCATTGCGGCATTACATTGTCGTGAGCTGTTGGCCATTGCAGCATTACGTGGTCGGGAGCTGTGGGCCATTGCGGCATTACGTGGTCGCGAGCTGTGGGCCATTGCTTGCATTATGTGGTCGCTAACTGTGGGCCATTGCTTGCATTTCATGGTCGCGAGCTGTGGGCCATTGCTTGCATTATGTGGTCGCTAACTGTGGGCCATTTCTTGCATTACATGGTCGCGAGCTGTGGGCCATTGCTTGCATTACGTGGTCGCGAGCTGTCGGGAATTGCTTGCATTACTTGGTCGTGAGCTGTGGGCCATTGCGGCATTACGTGGTTGCGAGCTGTGGGCAATTGCTTGCATTACGTGGTCGCGAGGTATGGGCAATTGCTTGCATTACGTAGTCGTGAGCTGTGGGCCATTGCTTGCATTACATGGTCGCAAGCTGTGGGCCATTGCTTGCATTACGTGGTCGTGAGCTGTGGGCCATTGCTTGCATTACGTGGTCGCGAGCTGTGGGCCATTGCTTGCATTACATTGTCGTGAGCTGTTGGCCATTCGGCATTGCGTGGTCGGGAGCTGTGGGCCATTGCGGCATTACGTGGTCGCGAGCAGTGGGCCATTGCTTGCATTATGTGGTCGCTAGCTGTGGGCCATTGCTTGCATTACATGGTCGCGAGCTGTGGGCCATTGCTTGCATTACGTGGTCGCGAGCTGTCGGCCATTGCTTGCATTACTTGGTCGTGAGCTGTGGGCCATTGCGGCATTACGTGGTCGCGAGCTGTGGACCGTTGCTTGCATTACGTGGTCTCGAGCTATGGGCCATTGCTTGCATAACGTGGTCGTGAGCTGTGGGCCATTGCTTGCATTACATGGTCGTGAGCTGTGGGCCATTGCTTGCATTACGTGGTCGCGAGCTGTGGGCCACTGCTTGCATTACATGTTCGCGAACTGTGGGCCATTGCTTGCATTACATGGTCGCGAGCTGTGGGCCATTGCTTGCATTACGTGGTCGCGAGCTGTCGGCCATTGCTTGCATTACTTGGTCGTGAGCTGTGGGCCATTGCGGCATTACGTGGTCGCGAGCTGTGGACCATTGCTTGCATTACGTGGTCTCGAGCTATGGGCCATTGCTTGCATAACGTGGTCGTGAGCTGTGGGCCATTGCTTGCATTACATGGTCGTGAGCTGTGGGCCATTGCTTGCATTACGTGGTCGCGAGCTGTGGGCCACTGCTTGCATTACATGTTCGCGAACTGTGGGCCATTGTGGCATTACATGGTCGTGAGCTGTGGGCCATTGCTAGCATTATGTGGTCGCGAGCTGTGGGCCATTGCGGCATTATGTGGACGTGAGCTGTGGGCCATTGCTTGCATTACGTGGTCGCGAGCTGTGGGCCATTGCTTGCAATACATGGTATCGCGAGCTGTTGGCCATGGCGGCATTACATTGTCGTGAGCTGTTGGCCATTGCAGCATTACGTGGTCGGGAGCTGTGGGCCATTGCGGCATTACGTGGTCGCGAGCTGTGGGCCATTGCTTGCATTATGTGGTCGCTAACTGTGGGCCATTGCTTGCATTACATGGTCGCGAGCTGTGGGCCATTGCTTGCATTACGTGGTCGCGAGCTGTCGGGAATTGCTTGCATTACTTGGTCGTGAGCTGTGGGCCATTGCGGCATGACGTGGTTGCGAGCTGTGGGCAATTGCTTGCATTACGTGGTCGCAAGGTATGGGCCATTGCTTGCATTACGTGGTCGTGAGCTGTGGGCCATTGCTTGCATTACGTGGTCGCAAGCTGTAGGCCATTGCTTGCATTACGTGGTCGTGAGCTGTGGGCCATTGCTTGCATTACATGGTCGCGAGCTGTGGGCCATTGC